GATCGTAACTCGAAACTTTAACATAGACTTACGACAGTCGTAGCGCTAAGACGATCGTAACTACCATACTTTAACATAGACTTACGACAGTCGTAGCGCTAAGACGATCGTAGCTCCAAACTTTAACGTAGACTTACTACAGTCGTAGAGCTAAGACGATCGTAACTACCATACTTTAACATAGACTTACGACAGTCGTAGCCCTAAGACGATCGTAGCTCCAAACTTTAACGTAGACTTACTACAGTCGTAGAGCTAAGACGATCGTAACTACCATACTTTAACATAGACTTACGACAGTCGTAGCCCTAAGACGATCGTAGCTCCAAACTTTAAAATAGACTTACGACAGCCGTAGCCGTAAGACAATCGTAACTCCCATACTTAAACATAGACTTACGACCATCGTAGCGCTAAGATCTCTTTGTGAAACGGGGTCCTGAAAGTGACCATCTGTGTTCCCAGTTGATGGCCTTGTGCAGGAGCTGGGCAAGGTCCTCAGAGGTCTCTACCACCACGACAAGACCATCACACAGGTCGAGTGCGTCAACGACTGTGACACCAACATGGGACTTCGGGACAACCTGTGCAAGGATATATGCAAACTGTAAGAACCGTCCTCATAAATGCTTTTAATGCTGTTCTGTAAGGAACAAATTTGTGGCACCCCACAGTGCCTGAGGACCCTTAAAGTATACGTTCAATCCGTTTTAAAGTGAGTGAGTGAGTGAGTGAGTTGGGTTTAACGCCGCTTTTAACAGTTTTCCAGTTATATCACGGCGTGTCAGCTTAATGTGGGAGGAAAGCCCGAAGTGATCGGGTCTCTGACGTTTACCACTTTGGTGAAACCCACGAGTACAGGTATAGTGCTGACAAAGCTAGAAACGTAATCAGGGTAAACCGGGATTCGAACAGAGGATCATAAGTTTATGGCGTGTCCAAGGGACGCAACTCTGCACAGCGAATAGCGGCGCCTAAGACTGGGCAAACTATGCCCCTTTCTCAATCAGTCAGTGAGAATATTCAGCAAATACCAAACTTAACCCCCCTGTTCATAAAATGGTCGAATTATATTTAGGGTGTTATCATTATTTAAATACGGGTACATATTTTTAAAGCTTTTAATTTTATCAACATCCTTACATAATGTTGACATCTCATATAAGGAATAAACGACTCGGGGTCGTTGTTTAACGTACAATAAAACACTGCAGGGAGAATAAACCACTCGGGGCCTTCTTAATTACAATGCTTGACTCGATGTGGGTACGTCTATATTTCAGTGCTGCACAGAAATACCACTTCATCCTCTCAACATAAGAAGATGCTCGATATCCCTGCTGTGCAACGTCCTTTATTGATAAACCGCACTGCTTCCTGTAAAAGTGTAATATGTTGTCAATAAATAAACACATTCCTGCAGTTTTGTATATTGTCAATAAAACCGTTCTCTACACCAGCGAATTCTTGGAGGCATAAAACATGCAAAAACTGCCGGGTAAAATATAGTTCGCACTCTGCAATATTCCAGCTATATGACGCCGGTCTGTAAATAATCGAGTCTGGACCAGACAATCCAGTGATTAACATCATTAGCATCGATCCACGCAATTGGGAAACGATGACATGCATCAACCAAGTCAGCGAGCCTGACCACCCGATCCCGTTAGTCGCCTCATACGACAAGAATAGTCCCCTTTTACGCAAGCATGGGTTGCTGAAGACTATTCTACCCCGGATCTTGACGGGTCAGAAACATGGATTGACACTAAAACAAGGACTGGTCGGCTCGGAGTCATTATAATGTGTCTAAATGGGATATCCATGTTACAACTGCGGCATGATATCTCAGCCGGCTAGCTATATAAAACCGGGTTTAATCACAAGTACACACTCACACACACACACACACACACACACACACACACACACACACACACAGAATGAATTCAAGTAAATCACAACTTTATGACAAGCAGAATCAATAACATTGACAGAAATAATGGTCCACAGGAATTAATCGTTAAAATCAGAAATGACACCCAATGGAGTGGTGCTACTGCGCGCGGCACATGCACTATTAGGATGTGTTTTGGTTTATGTTTTACAGACATACACGTTCGTGCATAGTATGTTTGTCGTCAACACTTATCTTGGTATTAACATTTATATTTCATGACCCCCTAAGAGTGTCCATTTGTACCACTTGCAGAGCTTATATGTGTCATCATTTTCAATGATATTTACTTACATACAGACATTGTTACATTCGGTACTAACACGTAGAAACCTTATATCACCTCGATTCGGGACTAACACGTAGAAACCTTATATCACCTCGATCTATGGTTCCAGACTCTCGACAGCAACCTGCCCACTACCAGTAGACAATGATTCAATTGCCAACTTACCTTGGGATTTAATTTGCTTCTTCCTGGAATAAATCTTAGCTGACAGTACATTTGATACTTTTGGGAATGCGCGTGGGTTTTTATGTCTTCCAGTGGATTTAGTACAAGGTGAGTACCTTGAGTTCCCGTCACTCTGTAGTACAGAGACCAGTGCTGATATGTAGCCTTCAATGGTGTCATGTCTGAATTATTTCGTATTCTTCTGAGATTGCCTAAGAAATAAGCAGCTAGGTATCGTTATATCCAGGTCTTGTAAACATCTTCCCCTTCGCCACCAGACGAACGTATCCCATCTGTCGTTAAAAAAATGGCTGTCGAAGCTGGTCTCCATGTGAAACTGATTGAGTAGCGGGATCGTTGCATTTTAGTCATTTCCAGGCGTGAAGGTGGAGGTTGTTGAGGGTCCCCTAAAATATGTCAGTTCTCGGCTGGCGCAGAAGATCGCGACGCTCTGGTAGTCTGAGAGGTTCTTTCATTAGGGGAGGTAACCATCACCGAAACCATGTTCTGTTGTGCCATGCCGGATCGATCAGTACAATCATGCAATGAGTGTTCTCTATCTTCTTTTGTACTCTGTCTTGGAGAGACCAAGGGGAACACATTCCCTCCCAACTCATGGGTAGGGCGTCCACCAGGAGGACTCGTGGGTGTGGGTCTGGGCTGACGTTTCCAGATAGCCGAGAGCCGCGATGGGGTCCTACAGTCAAGACATGACCCTACATCATGTCTTGACTGGAGGACCCCATCGCGGCTCTCGGCTAGTATTTATAAACACTAGCCTGTTGTTGGAGGGCTAGTGGCTCTGGTACTGGGCTGACGTTTCCAGGTAGCCGAGAGCCGCGATGGGGTCCTACAGTCTAGACATGACCCTACATCATGTCTTGACTGGAGGACCCCATCGCGGCTCTCGGCTAGTATTTATCAACACTAGCCTGTTGTTGGAGGGCTAGTGGCTCTTGTACTGGGCTGACGTTTCCAGGTAGCCGAGAGCCGCGATGGGGTCCTACACTCAAGACATGACCCTACATCATGTCTTGACTGCAGGACACCATCGCGGCTCTCGGCTAGTACACAGGTAGCCTGTTGTTGGAGGGAGGGCTAATGGTTCTGGTACTGGGCTGACGTATAAGGCAGGTGGCGAATAGATGGAGATGCGGGGTGTCCTACACAGAGGTGCTCCACCTGAATATCTCGGGATGGAGGGCAAATTCTGTTGGCACGATTTTGTTTTTCCGGGACAGGCAATTCGAAAGTAAATATTATTTGCCCGGTATGTGACGTACGTCCTTCCTACAACTCATTGAGTCTGCCAAGGCAAATAAACGGTTAACCTTCTTCAACAAAATCCGCGACTGTGTGCCCCCTTGATGCGGTATATATGATACCACTGTGGTGTTGTCTGTCGCAATCAATACTGACAAGTGGTGTAGCCGGACACGCCGCTTTTAGCAATATTCCCGCAAATTCAGGGCGGGGGTCACCAGAAATGGGCTTCACACATTGTACCCATGTCGGGAATCGAACCCGGGTCTTCGGCGTGACGAGCGAACGCTTTAACCACTAGGCTACCTGACCGCCCCGATTCCTTTGATAAGTTGAATCTTGCCCTTTTATAGACACTATCTTGCGTAGGTACCAACTCTGGCTTGTAGGTGTGAACCGGGAAACCGAGATACGAGAGTAGTTGAATGAGGAAAACTGTATTTGATTTGCGACTTGTTCTGTTTGGCCAATAGGAATTATTTCCGACTTCTCCTGACCGGCGGATGGGAAGTTGTCGATGTAGCCGTGTAGTCTTATCAGCTTTAGATGAGAGAACACGATGGCGGTGATGGTAATTATCCAAGGAGCCAGCCATATGCCTAACGGTAGGCTGTTGAGCTCGAACCACTGCCGTTGACTATTGTTGACAAGTTGGGTGAATGGGGACGAGATACGTTTCCTTTAAGTCTAGACTTATCATACAATCTGCTCGTCGTAGTTAGCTCCTTAATAGACTCTACTTAGAATTTGGGAGGCTGTACTATTTGCAGTAGTTCAATAGTTATTAATTCCTGACCTGCAGTAGTAAAATATTATTAATATTTCGCACCAACCACAATAATTAAATATTGTTAATAATTCCCACCCAAGCTGTAGTTCAATATTGTTATTAATTCCTGACCTTCAGTAGGAAAATATAATTAATATTTCGCACCACCCGCAGTAATTAAATATTAAAAATTCCCACCAATGCAGTAGTTCAATATTGTTAGTTATTCCAGCCGCATGCATTTGTTAATATTGCTAATAATTCACATCCCTGCTTAGTGAAATGTGTTAATAATTCCCATCACATCACATGTAGTAATAAATATTGTTAATAATTACTGTCCTGCAGTAGTGAAATATTATAAATAATTCCTGCCCTGCAGTAGAAAAATATTAATAATATTAACCTTATGCAGTAGGTGAATATTGTTAATAATATCCACCCTGGAATTAAATTATTTTTTAAAATGATTCCTACCCCTGTAGTAGTGAAATATCCCAATCAAAGTCAACTACATTGTGTAACCATAGTCCTTGTACAAACACAGAAGTCCACTATCTTGTGTAGTATTTATTTGGCAATTGACATACCGTACAGATAGACTGCAAGGCTGGTATCAAAGGTATCTATACATAAAACATCAGCATTGTCATGGCAATGTCTACAATCAAGATAAATAAACAATTGAAGACTTGATGGTTCCACATACATATACAATGGATTCAACCCCTATACAGTAACAACCAGTGGAAAATAAACTATAAATGTGAAATATACAGCATTTACACCTTCCTCAGTGGATGAGAGGTCAGTCACGTGACCATGAAACTGACATTCACCGAAACTGAAAGTGTCACAAGCTCCGACCATCTTACAGTTTGGGACTTCTCCAACAACTTGCACAACAAAGAGAAAGTCAATTCTAAAAGTAGATGGGTACAATCAACATGGCATGTATGACAAGACAAGTCCCTGATCCTCATCTTCAAGAGGCAAGAGAGTTAACTGACTTTAAAAAGTCCAGTTTCCACCCTTGCCAAACTCAATCTCATTAAAATCATATCTTGGTCAAGCATAGCGAGAACTAAGATCTGATTTTAATCAGATTGTGCCGAACTAGGTTGGAATTCCTGGGCCCGATCGAAGCGTCACCAATGGCTATTACGAGTTATGTCCCTTCCATGCTTCTCCTATGGACCTATCAGATTCGTATCACTTGCATTTGCTTCAAACAAAATGGCAACGACCTAACAAGACAATCTGATCGACAATCAAGATCTATAAAACGGGTCTTACATCGCGAAGAGCATCAAATAACGTGAGCAGCTTGATTAAAAACATGAAAAGATTGGCGGTGCACATGTTTTGCATATCCTGCAATCGACCGAAATTTGCAGTTTACAGTTTACGAACCGGATTTCGATTTCGTTACGCAATTTTGATAGGACTATTCATAGACTCGTTAATCCAGGCAAAATCTAACGCCATAATACCAGTCTAGTTCGTCAAGGGTGAAAACTGGACTTTTCTAGTCAGTTAACTCACTTGCCTCGGGAGGATGCTGATCCTAGAAATGAATTTATACTCGCCAACAATGAAAACAAAATGGTCAACTTCAGGAAACTCAGCTGGGAAGTTGGAAAAAAAACATATGAACCTCTTATGGTTAACATTTGTAACGACGTTTCAGGTCCATTTCTTGTCTCTTCTTCAGATATTATAACAACTTCTTTATTGATATCAACCTCTTATGTCATCATATCCCAATTGCGTGGATCGATGCTCATGTTGTCAATAACAGGATTGTCTGGTCCAGACTTAATTATTTACAGACTGCCGTCATATAGCTTGAATATTGCTGAATGCAGTGTTAAACAAACAAACAAACAAACAAACAAACAAATCTTTATTATGAGGAACACACTGTTTCAGAGTATATACTTACTCCTTCATCAGGTGACTCCTTTATCGCTTGTAAGGGCATTTCATGCCTTCTTATTGTACCTGCTTCTTGCTACTGATTACCTGAATTCTTCTGATGGAAGACAAGAAGTAGCTATAAAATATCCATGTAAAGAAGTTGTTAATTTACTGATAAAAAGAAAAAAGTGACCCCTAAATGTTGTTACAAACAATAAAAAAAATTGTTATCCATAAAAAGTTTCACGTCTTCATGTTCTTCCTACTTCTAAATGCCTATCAAAGACTAGGTAACAAAGTGGCCAGGTTTGTGGTAACAGACTCCTTTCCATCAAACTGAAGCAATCACTGACTTACAAAAAGTGGTTTACTGGTTAGTGTATCTTCCCATGACACATATTGTCTAGGTTTGAATCCCGACACAAGTTAACCAGTCTGTGTTACAAACTCCTCTCCGTCAAAATGGAGCAATCACTGACTTACCCAAAGTGGCCTACTGGTTACTGTGTCTTCCCTTGAGACACATTGTCTGGGTTTGAATCCCCACACAAGCTAACCACTCTTGGTGTCCCCCCCCACTCACTTCTACAAAGCTGCTACATCTACTTGCTTCATGGTAGGGACAGCCCTGGTCCTGCTGATGACACAGGACCAAGACTGACCCCCCTAAGTCACACTACTTCAGATATATACACGTCTTTAATACAATACACTCGGACTCTCGGTACCACTGACATGGAAGTGTAGCAGCCACAGGCAGAACAACATAGCACTGAAAGCCCACTGTCATAATCTCAGCGTTGCAAAATTCACGTCAACAAGGGCTGTAACGATATGCTCTGTCACACTCTGTACACACTGCGATTGATCGTATGACCTTAATCTGATACATGATGTGGTAAATGAAATCCGGGGGCATATGTAAAGATTCATATTCAGTCATCAACGAGAATGACATGAAACCCAACCACAGCAAATCTATCTCAGGCCAATTCATTCACTTCTTGTACAGTCTGTGATATTTTGGACATTTCCAAAGAAATAATCAAATAATAATCATGTCTCGTAATCATATCGAGTAACCATGGCAACATTGACATCAAACTGCTTTTCTCTCTCGTTCACAAAGATTTCACCTGCAGCTAAAAGAGAGATTTTGAAAAACAGGAATTGGTACTGGGCACAATGCATTAACAAATTAAATTGATTATTTAAACCAGAAAAAATAATCTCATGCCTTCAGCAAGTTCAGGAGTTGGGGTGATAATCTGTAACATAAACTTGGTCAGGCCTAGTATATATGAGTGACATATCTAAAACTGTTAACAGTGCTCATTGTTCCAACGCAGGATGTTGAGTGCTTCATGTTCAGAGTGTAGGTGATCAATTGATGTACAAATATTAAATGCAAACTTTCTTGTATTCACATACATTTGAATTGCACAGTCATGGTAGGTTTGAAGTGGATGACAAAGAAACTTCTGTATCATGATATGGTCTCCTGAGTTGTCATGGTAACTGAATGTGCGGAATGATGCAAGGATCTATATTACCCATAGCAGCACGGATATAGGTGCAATTACTTTCAGTAATTCTCTCTGACCATAACAATTTCTTGCTTCAAGCAGATTCGCACTAGTTCACTCAAATTGTTCCATTGTTTTCACTGTTTGTGAAGCCATAGAAATGTGACGTCATATGAACACATTGTCACTAATAATTAAAGATGTTGTCACCATGATGTCACAAACAAATTTTTGTGAGATCATCCAAAAAGAGAGAAACAAATCTAGTGTCTCAAATTGTGATTAGCAAACCCACATATTTCTATATTTTCTTAACAACAAGAAAAAGACTTTGGGTAATATAACAACTCATAATTACGGATTATTTATCCCTCATTGATTTATTTTGAAAGTTCTTCGCCAAAGCTCAGAACTTACAAAATTAATTCACACAGTACAAATAATCAGTAATTCCTTGTAACTCGTAGTTTTTTCTCTAAATGGCACATACTGATGTTGATCGATAAAACATCTTTGTTCATGTTGTTCAATGCACTCTATTTGAACCCCCCTGAAACTGACATAACATTGTAAACGTGACAAATAACCAGGACTGATGAACAGTAACAACTAGAAATCTTGCCTCCGCCCGCCCTCGCAGACAGAGTCTTGGTTGTGGTCACCAGTATAGCCATGGTGCTGTAGCAGCACTGTTCTTGTCCGCGATTGACATATTTAAAAAAATACTGACATGATTAAGATCTATGGGATAATCGGTCATATCTTCCTTGACATACATAACACATGAGGTAATACATCAGATAATGCATGAGATTTTCCTAGACATATTCCATGTTACACAGTGAAACCTTGCTAATCTGGACATTAGAGTATCCACTCTGTTAGTTTGTTGTTTAATGCAGCATGAAGCAATATTCCAGCTTTATGACCTCAGTCTGCATTACAAATAATCAAGTCTGGACCAGATAATCCAGTGACTGACACCCTGAGCATCGATCTATACCATTGGGGTATGATAACATGCATCAACCAAGTCAGCGAGCCTGACCAGCCGATGCTGTTAGTCGCCTCTTACGACAAGCATGGGTTGCTGAAGATCAATTCTAACCTGGATCTTCATGAAGGTGTACCCACTGAATGGGTTTCCATATTAACAGGGTCTGGATTACCAAGGTTCCACTTTATTCCATCAGATAGCCCCCAGATCACTCATGAGATAATCTGAGACATTCCATGGTTATTTTTCAAGACATAATTCATAAGATAATCTATTTCCACATGTCAGACAGTGATATAAGTTAAGGAAGGTCAGGTCAGTGCCGATACCCTATGCCAGTCTTACTAGGAATAGCGTAGAGATGTATCGGGATCAAGAGAGTTACTTATCATGCTTATAGAGAGACAGACGTGCCGATTTGAACACCTGTTTTCACAAATCCCCCAAACAGCCATTATTCAACTTTCTTTGACAAGATTTGTTAAGATGCAAATTGTTACTTAACCAATGAGCGGGCGGTGGCGTTACCTAAAAGCGTTCGCTCGTCAGGCCGAAGACCAGGGTTTGATTCCCCACATGGGTAGAATGTGTGAAGCCCATTTCTGGTGTCCTCCGCAGTGATATAGCTGGAATATTGCAAAAAGCAGCGTAAAACTGAACACACTCACGCAAATTAGCAGTACATTTGAAATAATTCACCAACTGAAAGATATTTACATGATAATGACTCCGACGTCTCCTCTCACTAACCACAATGAAGACTGTTCGAGTCATTGCACCAGTGTCGTGGATTTAAGAAAACCCAATAAATATCTCTCTCCGTCCAATGAAATAATCTCTTTGTCGATACACAATTCTTACATAAATGTTAAGTTGTAGACTCTGTGATTGGCTCGTCCATGAGATCAAGTTTGGTAGTATCACCACCTATCGTCATGGCAACATCAGATGCCGTAGCATCCATGTTTTCTGTGAATTCAAGTTGCCGTGGTTCTGGTGCTGTAAATGGCTTGATCGGAGATGGAAGATTCAGTGTTCCTTGTTCCTCACTCTCTGCGTCAAGATCAATCTTCACCTTCCTTGGTTTTAGTTTCAAAGGGGTTCGTGTAAGAACGTCCTGGATTTCTTTCATAAAGTTTTCTTTGAACTCCATCATTTCTTGCTGAAGCTGCAACGCCTCTGCTGCCACCTTTTCCTGCCGCTGTCGCAGTTCCCCGAGCCCCCGCAGGTTGTCCTTGCTCATACGCAGACCCTCGCACATATACTCATTCCCCGCCGACGGGGGCACTGCCTCACCGGACATGTAGCGATCAAACTCGGACTGGGAGATGCTCAGGGAGTCGGCATTCAGGCTCTCGATAAAAGCAACTGCACAACACTGAAAACCAAAAGGAAGTCTCTTAACTTTACACAGATAGAAGTATATTGTTGATCTAAAATCTGGCGTCACATCTCAGCAACTCAGCAACATTAAAGCTATATGACGGTGGCCTGTAAATAATCAAATCTGGACCAGGCAATAAAGTGATTGATATTTTCAGCAACAATCCACGCTCTCGGGGTACAATAACACGCCATCGAACAAGTTAGTGAGACTGATTACCCAATCTATTGACACCTCTTATGACCAGCATAGGTTGCTTGGGACCTATCCTCACACGGAATCCCCACTGGGGTAGATATGTCTGAAATATACATCAAGATAAATGATGCAAACTGTCATATCACACCCTCAGGGTTTTGTTTGTTTGTCTGTTGTTTAACGCTGTACTCAGCAATATTCCAGCTATATGACGGCGGTCTGTAAATAATCAAGTCTGGACCAGACGATCCAGTGATTGATGCCATGAGCATCGATCCACACAATTGGGATCAATGACATGCATAAACCAAGTCAGCAAGCCTGACCACCCGATCTCTTAAGTCGCCTCTTATGACAAGCAGAGTCGCTTTTCACAGCAAGCATGGGTTGCTGAAGACGTATTCTACCCCGGATCTTCACGGGTACGCAGGGTTTTGTTTTAGGGGTATTTTAGCAATACTCAATATCATGGCGGGGGACCGACGTAGTCCGGGGCACTCACCAGGTTGGTAAAGTAGTACCCGGCCTCTCCACTCATGAGTCGACTGGGGTTTGCGAAGCGTGTGATGTACTGAATGTTGGACTGGAGACGGGGAGGGTTGGCCTTCAGCACGATGTAGATGAGGGCAGGAAGAAACTCGTCAGCGCTTGCCGGACCTTGCTTCGACTCGCGGAGAAGCTCGAAGATATTCTTACTACAGTTGACCACGCAGGCTAGTTTGTCCTGAGTTGCACGCTTCGAGTCCATCTCTATAGCAACTGTGGAGAGATAACATCAGTGTAATGTGTAACCAGATATATTGACAAAGATTTGTTGTAATTGTCAGTGGCAGTAAAATATTGAAATACAAGTAATACTTGTAAAAAAAGTGCAGTCGTGGCTGAATTTAAACCGTTGTCAACAGCAGTGGCTGAAGCTTTCAAGAAGTGCTTTGTATTTGAAATAGAGTTATCTGCCCCTAGAGTACACATCACCAGGCTTGATCGTTAGAGAAGTTTTGAGATTGGACGCTTTCTTGGAGGCTGGCTGTACCTACATGAGAGAGACAAGAGGTTGATTCAAGGCCCTTTTGATCTGACGTGTCTACTCTACTTGCCAAGTATGGTTTGGAAGCCTATTTGTAAACACCGAATTCCTCCCAGCTTCCACTATTCTGGATTCAAGAGCGGATACAGGCCTGTTTCAAGACAGTCGACAATGACAATATCTTGGACACTTGTGACACACTTACATTAATTCTAGGGCCTGGTTCTTATTGCTGCTGCAACTTTTCTGACCAGTTGTATTGCTTTTTTATAGTAAACCTAAAACCTTGTGTTTCAATAAAACTTCATCAGCAGTAGAAACTAACATTCTTAATCCACTAGACCTTATAATGATAACATATAGCAAGCCCCTCAAAAAGGGCAAATTTCTACTGGTCCTTATGATACCTTAATTGTTGGGCAGTTTGGCAAGGACTACAGCACTAGTGCCAATTTCTATCACTGTTCATTAATATATTCATTAATCTTGAGTGGTCGCCAGAGGACTTACAGGTAATGGCTTGATCTATGAGCTGTCTGATCTGTGGATCATGTTCATTAATGAGAGTGTCCAGCTGCTGGGCAGTGATCCAGTGAAGGCTCCGGATCCGATTCTGTAGCAGCAGATCCTTCTCCTCGTCCGTGGTGGAGGGCGGGCAGAACACGATGCGGTACAGGCGCACCAGGATGTAGCGCTCCGTGAAGTCCAAGATCTTCTCTATCACCTCCTGATTCAAGCCTGCAACATGTAGACGATGTGATAATGTACACTGGCCAGGTATAGCGTCATAAATATTTAGAAACATTTTACGTTGTTATTTTGTTTATCATTACTTGGACGGCTGTTGTAAAAGGCCCATTTTTATTATCATCATGTGCATTGAGCTCTTTACTATAATGGAGAATAGTGAATTCACAACACTTCAGAATAATATCATACTGAACAATCGATGTATCACACTTTCTCTGCCTAGCCTTGAGAACACACACCGACACCAAAAAATCTGCCTATCTGTGGGATCACATAGAGACACCATGACATCTGCCTATCTGTGGGACCACACACAAACACTGCAACATCTGCCTATCTGTGAGACCAGACACCGACATCTGCCTATCTGTGGGACCACACACCGACACAAAGACATCTGCCTATCTGTGAGACCCCACAGAGACACCATGACATCTGCCTATCTGTGAGACCCAAGAGACACTAAGACATCTGCCTATCTGTGAGACCCCACAGACACCTGCCTGTCTGTTGGACCACACAGAGACACCATGACATCTGCCTATCTGTGAGACCCCACAGACACCAAGACACCTGCCTATCTGTTGGACCACACAGAGACACCATGACATCTGCCTATCTGTGAGACCCCACAGACACCAAGACACCTGCCTATCTGTTGGACCACACAGAGACACCATGACATCTGCCTATCTGTGAGACCCCACAGCCACCAAGACACCTGCCTATCTGTTGGACCACACAGAGACACCATGACATCTGCCTATCTGTGAGACCCCACAGACACCAAGACACCTGCCTGTCTGTTGGACCATACAGAGACACCATGACACCTGCCTATCTGTTGGACCACACCCACAACACCAAGACATCTGCCTATCTGTAAATTGACACACTGACGAGACATGTGCCTATCTATGAGACCACATATGACAATGAGGCTTCTGCCTATCTGTGAGACCACATATAACAACGAGACATCTGCCTATCTGTGAGACCACACATGACATTGAGACACTCACCTTTGAACACAGTGTGGGAGTTGAGCCTATCGGAGAGACTCTGGTAGAAGTCTTGGACTGTCTCCGACAGGTCGTCTATCGGCTGCTCCCCGCTCTGCTGGATGCGCTCGATGAAGCTGCGGACTTGTTTTGAGATGTCAAGTGCGGCAGGCTTACGAAGCGTCTTCAGAAACTCCGCAAACTCTCCCCCGACCTTCTGACTCTCAATGCTGGACCTCCGCGGCTCCTTCTGCGTGTGGCCATGCTGGTCCGTGGATGTGTCTTGAGAAGACAAACACAACTTGATCATTTTTGCAACATACCAACCACGATTTTGTATCTGGACTTAACGATATGACGCCATATTCTGAATATTTATATTTTCTGAATGAAATTGATCTAGAAATCGAACATAAACTAACACAGAGGGTACATCAACCCATGCCCTCTTGAAAACTTAAAAAATGAGTTGAAGGTTGAGGAAGAAATATCGAAGTGGAGTCGTTTTGACACAAAAGGGGGAGACAACTCTGTTCAAGGCCTAGCATGTCAACACAGGGATTAGCCCAGGAAATAATGACTTTACTTTACTCATCATTGAGATAAATATGTATTTCTTAACCCTAAATAATGATATGTCTCCTATATTTATTTTGTACTATTGATCGATTTAAACCCATTATATTGGAGGCTCTTGTTCATGTGCATGCTAAACTCGCCTAAAAGACATATACCGTATCCGACCGTATCCGACGTAATAAGCGCCCAGCTCTAATAAGCGCCCACGGCAATATTGCTAATATTATTAATAAATTCCAAGACTTATTTATTCATGTATAATAAGCACTTGTGTGTTATATGCAACCTTAATTATGGGCAATTAAATTCTGGAAAATATATCTGTCATGTATAATACGGACAGACTTTTCTTTTGTATCATTTCAGGCTGTCAGCATAAGCCACAAAATTTACAATCTTCCAACTCTGTTTTTTTCTCTCACCAAAATCATATTCTAATAACAGTCCCCTATTTCTAATTTTGAGAGCGCCCTTGGTGCCTATTACGTCGAATACGGTATTTCATTGAGCAAGTGAGGATGAATTATTCCCAAATTTCAATCCATATTCCAGCAATATCTTGACTCGGGACACTAAGATAGATCTTCACACATGTACCAATGATGGGACTTGAACCCAGCTGTTCAGCAAGACAAACTAACACCTTGACCACTAGACTACTCACTGTTTCGTTAATACACTGACAATAAAATATATTCAACCAAAACTGGGAATCAAAAGCATGTTAAGTGAACTGTTTTCATTAGGCCCAGGAAACACCTCGTAATCTGTACATACCTTTCACTGGTGTGCGCTTGAAGATGGACTTCATTGTGTGGCTGCGCTTGTTGACCTGCTGCGTTTTCTTCTCCGCAAACTTGGAGAAGGATGGTGGAGGAGTGTCCCCCGTTCTGAAAGAGAAGAGTAATCATAATGAATGTCTACACAATAGCATGGAGGCTGAGGAAAATCTGATCTGCATGTGTTTTCAGAATTTTGGTAATTTCTTTGAAAATGCTTGTGACTCCGTCTCTGTCTAATCACTATTGTTCAGTAGCCATTCTTAATAATCAGGATAATACCCAGATTTTGTAGAGAAAAATCTGCCTGAACTGATGCCGAAATAATTTAGGCTGGTAGAGGAAAACATTTTTTTCTGTAAAATATTGAATTCAGAGAATTAAACTTGACATAAATAAACTGGAATGCTTGTTGATTTTTAATTTTGGGGGGAATGTAGTAACCATGGTTATTATCTCTGTTTTATCTTTCTCCACCCACTTGAAATGATTGTTAAAGAAATTCTTCTAACAGGGGTCGACAAAGTCATACGTCAGTCTTCCACAGGGGCTATCAAACAATTAATGATCTGGAAGAAACGTGCTACAAACATTACCCTTAATGAAATGCAACAGTTTTTCAAAACCTTATACCAGCACAATTTCTATCATAATGTAATACCAACAAAATTGATGAAGACAAAAATAACCTCAGCCTATAACAAAAATAAAACCATTAAACATTTACATGTACTAAAATAATGGCCCTGCATCTGCGAACACGATCACCAACTTAAATCAATTCTTGTTTCAATGATGAACACGATGAATGCAAGCTGCAGCCAAGTTTCCCTAACCTTCATCATGTTCATCATGGCACTTAACACTGTTTAAATGAGGTTCATACAATCAAATATATATTTCAATTTAATTTCTTGCTCAACTGGACGTAAATTGTACAGCAGACACCAGTGTACTGTGTCTGTGTCATATGTTCGTTTGGCACAAAGCTGTTACATTTATCAATAATCAAACTACACGGCTCCCCATGATCTCTGTAGTCCAAATAAAAAGCGTTATATATTTCCAACCATAAATTGATGTGGGTACTGACAGCACTACAGGTGAGGAAAAGTAGGGTTTAGTGTGGGTGTGTACATCAGTCTTTGTAATGCCGATATTATAGAGCTAGCCTCTGAGATATCATGCTGCAGTTAAACATGGTGAGGTGAGGCGAAATGGGGTTTAACGTCGCGTCCAAGATTATTGCACTTATATAGCGACGTGCATGTACTTGTGTGTGTTTGTGTGGCTGCTTGTAGTAGTCCGGACTGATGCCGATTTATAGTGCTAGCTCACTGAGATACCATGCCGCAGTTTAACATGAATATCCCACTCAGACACAGTATACTGACTCCAAACTGACCAGTCGTTGTTTTAGCCCCTTAATGCTGAGCGCCAGACAGGGTAACAACAAGTACCATCTTTTAACGTATTTTGGTATGACGCGGCCGGGGATCGAACCCTGGACCTTCCTCTGTCCGGGCGTACGCTCTACCACTAGACCACGGAGGCGGTCCCAGTTAAACATGGATACCTCATACACAGTTTACTGACTCTGAGTCGACAAGGCCTTGTTTCAGTCCCTTAATGCCAAGTGCCAGTCAACAACAAGAACCATCTTTTCACGTCTTTTGGCACCATCGACCTTCCGCTCTCGACAGCATAGCAGACTATCTGCATGTTGTTTTAAGCAGTCATGATAATTGGTCATCACGAAGGCACACAAACTTTTCCTGAGTGGTTAGCACAATCATGTACTATGTGTAAAATGGAGACCACATTTCTGTGTAATTAGGGCACATCTTAACTGCTAGATTATTAGACTGCTAGACTATTATACTGCCAGACTGCCAGACATTTTGAGTTACCATGGTTACGAGACACACAATACAGTAAAAACGACTTGAATCAAACTTACTTGGAATGCCAATTGGAATGAGACCTCTAAAACATTTCCTTAATTCATCATCATCAGATTATCATGAAATTCCCCAAAAGCATACAAATATATATTGACAAGCTGTTAAATAAGAAACTGCCACTTGCCCAGGTGATATTTAAAACATGGGACAGATAGCTCTGGGCTAGTAGCTGAGTATGTAATATTCCGTGACAGATTTTTTAAATTTTGAATCGCCCAAACAGAATTAACTACACATGCAAAACAGAACTTATGAAATTAAAAACCTTTGTGTCTATATTCATGATTAAGCTGGTATGATTTTTTTCTTATGTTGTTTAATACCACACATCAATATTCCAGCTATATGACGGCAGTCTGTAAATAATCAAGTCCGGACCAGACAATCAGGTGATTGACAGCATGAACATTGATGTACGCATTGGGGTACGATGACATGCATGAAACAGGTCAGCGTGCCTGACAACCTGATACCATAGTCGCCTCTTACGACAAGCATACTTGCTTTTTACGGCAAGCATGGGTTGCTGAAGGCCTATTCAAACCCAGATCTACACAGGTAAGATGATACAAACACTAACGGACACAATACCTGTACAGAAATAATAGCAACTTGAATCTCATTACTGTGATCCTATTACATATCCTGCATCCTATTACACTGTTCACCAACTATACACTAAGTATGCTAGGTTGCAAGAAGCACTCATAATCCTATCTAACAACTGACGAGGAAGTCCAGCGTATCTCACTCAATGAATCTACGTAGGAGAGTGACAAACACATTTCTTCAATATGGCAGTCCCAACCACCAACTATCACCACAGTGATGAATAATTGTGCACAGTTTTTTTCTAAATAAACTTCACACCAATTACTGAGTACATTCTTAATGAGGCACAATTAACACTAAGGAAACACATGCAAACGAACCCATTGTTGGAGTGAGACAGGAAGTGTTTTTCTTGCCTTGCTTTTTGTTACACGGGGCTAAATATTCAGAGGTCAGAGATCAGAGATCATACCCCCTGGCATACTTATTTAATGGTTTATCACCGGGCATTAATCTCAGCCATTAACATGACTAATGTGTCACCCTGGCCAAAAGCACAACACCCTCAATGGGGAGGTTGTGACAGTATAGAGTGTGATGATTGGACTGGGAGAGATCAAAAACATGATAAATATGTTTTGTTGACTTGTCATGCTTGCGAAAAAACTTGATGACCATTTGGAAAAGATATGAGTTGGGCTAAATACTTCGCTGCGTCTCTATAACTCCTGTGGAACAATCATTATATTAGGTCTTTGAAAGGCATTTAGACGTGATACACATAAGGAAGAGAATATATGGATGTCAACTTCTTTATCATTTATTCGGAGTATATGCTTACTCCTTCATCAGGGTCCTTTATCATTCACCTGATGAAGGAGTATGCATATACTCCAAAATGTAGTGTTTCTCATAATAGAGGAGTTGACATCCATATATTATTTTCTGCACCATGATCACATAAAAAAACGGAAAAAAAATAAAAAAATTCCTCCCTCATCACTTTTCTTTTCAATCAAAATAATTCTTTTGTGATAAATGTGTCTTGGAAACATTTATTCTTTTAGGCCACACATTTTTATTTTTTGTTTCTCAGGCCCGCTGCCCCTACTGAAAACCAGCTGGAATGGAAATAAATGAAACATAAATATATTTATTATTATTATTTATTATCTCCTGCTAGTAATATAGACCCTCATATAAAAAAAACCCCAACCCCCTGCCCCCTCAAAAACCCTGCCGTCATATAGCTGGAATATTGCCGAGTGCGGCGTTAAACAGCAAACAAAAAAAACATCATCTTAAATAAAATGTTATTTATCAATTCCATGTCTACATTAGACTAACATTTAGTCTCTGAATCTTATATTAAACAATATCCTTCTTGACTCTAAAAATATAAAAAAATTCCCTATGCTGATTTCAGATAGAGCTAGCTTGAACTGGCTAGACTTGCTTTTGTATGCATTTCTAGATTATCTTTTTTCATAAAATAAATATATTCCACGGTCATGGTGCAGGACTATGTCTACATCACTATCAGTGATTCAAGAGTGAGTGAGTATGGTTTTACGCCGCTTTTAGCAATATTCCAGCAATATCACGGCGTGGGACACCAGAAATGGGCTTCACACTTTGTACCCATGTCGGGAATCGAACCCGGGTCTTCGGCGTGACGAGCGAACGCTTTAACCACAAGGCTACCCGACCGCCCCAGTGATTCAAGAAGCCAGCTGCAGTTTTAACTCCATGGCAGAATGACATAAATATAAATAAATGATTGACATATTTTTATTTCGACCAACCTTGTGAAGAAAAAAGCTGGAATAAATCCGTGAGACAGTTAAGTAAAAAAGCGTGGCCTTACACCTTGATCATAATAATGCAAACCACAAAAGTCGCCTCAAGGACACTGCTAATAATAAGCTGATTACTTAAGGCAAGTCACTAATATAGCAGTGATATATACCCTGCAGCCATTTAGAACACAAGTTTCATATAATATGACAGCAGACATGCTCAAATGTCTGCCGCATTGGCAGAAATGGTTAGCTCCCTTTTCAAGCAGTTGAACTAGTTACAAAGTAGTTTTTGTTTGTTATATAACGCCACATTCAGTAATTCTCCAGCTATGCGACGGTTGTCTGTACAACATCAAATCTGGACCAGACAATCCAGTGATAGACATAATCAGCATTGATCCACACAATTGGGATATGACAAGCATCAACCATGTCAGCGAGTCTGACAACCCAATCTCGTTAGTCACTATTTACAAAGCATGGATTGCTGAAGCCTAATTGAACCAGACAATCCAGTGATAGACATAATCTGCATCGATCCCCACAATTTGGATATGATGACATGCATTAACCAAGTCAGCGAGTCTGACAACCCAATCTCGTTAGTCACTATTTACAAAGCATGGATTGCTGAAGCCTAATTGCACCAGACAATCAAGTGATAGACATAATCTGCATCGATCCACACAATTGGGATATGATGACATGCATTAACCAAGTCAGCGAGTCTGACAACCCAAGCTCGTTAGTCACTATTTACGAAGCATGGATTGCTGAAGCCTAATTGCACCAGACAATCTGTTGATGGATATAATGAGCATCGATCCACACAATTGGGATATGATGACATGCATTTACCAAGTCAGGGAGTCTGACCACCCAATCTGTTTAGTTTCTATTTATGACAAGCAGAAATGGGCTTCACACATTGTACCCATGTCGGGAATTGAACCCGGGTCTTCAGCGTGACGTGGAACGCTTTAACCACAAGGCTACCCAGCTGCCCCTAATTGTACAGTGAGTGAGTGAGTGAGTGAGTGAGTGAGTGAGTGAGTGAGTGAGTGAGTGAGTGAGTGAGTGAGTGAGTGAGTGAGAGAGAGTGAGTGAGTGAGTTGGGTTTAACGCCACTTTTAACAGAATTCCAGTTATATCATGGCGTGTCAGCTTAATGTGGGAGGAAAGCACGAAGTGATGCAGGTCTAGGACTTTTACCACTTCGGTGAAACCCATGAGCATGGATAGGGTGCTGACATGGTGACACATGGTGAAATATTATTTGGGCGAACTGGGATTTAAATCCACAATCATAAGCCCAAGGGATTAGAACATTAGAAAATATATATGACATTGATACTTAACTGAAGTATTGAATGTTTGAAATCAAATGTTAATACACATGATACATGGTACATATTTTAAATCTATTCAGAAATCTATTTTGTCTCACCGTTTGGATGCCTCCCGCATGGCGTCATGTTGTATCTGTGCCTGCTTCGCTGGCTGGTACACCTCTCGGTAGCACTTGGAACAAAAGCCCTGCCATGCGGGGTTACCATAGAAACCACAGCCATTTTTACACAACAAGTCTGCTGACTCCAGGTGAAGTTTCTTGGCTGTTTTCTTTTCTGTACTCATCTTGTGAGCTTGGGGCTAGTAGTCAGCGATATATCTGGAAGGCAATTGGAAAAAACCCATAAATGTACGAACAACTGATATTAAAACGAAAAAATATGATTCAAATTCATCCTTATATATTTTCTTTCTGACAAGAGTGAAGTCAATACACAGCTAAAACATAAACAATGAAAGAATGACACCTTGACAGGCCAGACTCTGGAAATAGGAATCTCCACAGTTGATTACTGCTGGGAAAGTCAATATTTCAAGCTCCTGACAGTGATAGCTCATTCACGGAGCTCGATATACTATTGCTGCCACAAGCCACAGCTCCTCACAGTGATAACTCATTCAGAGAGCCCTCTAAACTATCGCTTCCACCAGTCACAGCTCCTTACAGTGCTTGGCAGCCTACAACCATGCATGGAGTTTTACTCACACCCCAACTGGGTAAGTAAGTTGGTTTAACCCCGCTTTTAACAGTATTCCAGTCATATCACGGCGTGTCAGTATAATGTGGGAGGAAAGCCCGAATGGATGCAGGTCTTAGAGGTTTACAACTTTGGGGAAACCCATGAACATGGGAATGGCAGTATTGTATCATTTCTGGTAACATAATAGTTTCAGATACTATTTCTACCAATCATTGTATCAAAATACTTTTAAGTTACATCATTGGATATTTGTTAACTGAATCACCAGTAGATTGTGAGAAAATATGTGTACAGATGTTTACAAGACAAATACACTCGGTTATCTTAATCTCTGCTTATAAAACAATGTCTAACGTAAGTTACTAACAATATATAAATTTGCAATGGTAAATCATCATGTCAGTGATATTTTGTCACAAAGTTCTCATCGTCATTGGCCAAGTTTGTTCTCTCCTGCATGTTCATCCACCGAAGCCATATGATGTTGTTTATTTGTTGTTTAACACTCAGTAATATTCCAGCTATATGACGGCTTACTGTAAATAATCGAGTCTGGACCAGACAATCCAGTGATTGACATCATGAGCATCGATCCACGCAATTGGGATCGATGACATGCATCAACCAGGTCAGCGAGCCTGACCACCAGATCCTGACTGTCGCCTCTTACGACAAGCATAGTGGCCTTTTACGGCAAGCATGGGTTGCTGAAGACCTATTGTACCCCGGATCTTCATGATGTAGCTTTTGACCGTGTACAATAATGGTTATACTCAAGAGAGCACTCACTTTACACCCAATCAATGTTAGTCAGTGTCCTCGAAAAGTAACCGTTCTGAATCATGCCGAATCCCAGCTACAATTTTCTGTACAATCACGATAATGACTGTTAACATAAATAGACCGAGCTTAGACTTTCTGCTGGTAAATCAATTTCACAAGTACTACCTACAAGGCTACATTGCCAGTACAGTTTGGGTGTGGGCAAATCCACATATTCTTAATGACACCCCTATTATCATGATCAAGGATATTGAGCCTGCTGGTCCTGTGTGTTTGAACTAGATGACACACTTCATCATGGACACCCAGGAAGTGACCTGACTTCACACGCTTCATGAATGACTGACCATGCTGATCGACCTACCATGTGCTTACAACAAACAAAGCTCCATATCAGCTGGGTACCTGATACCCAAAATATTCTGACTTGCTTACATACAGATACGCAGGAAATTCTTTTTAAAAATAATAAACAAAAACACTAATGCTAAACATGATTAAAAGCACAATGTCTCACTGATTGTTATTTATACATGTATATCGCTGTTGTGTTTGTTGTTTAATGCCACATTCAGCAATATTTCAGCTGTATGACGACAGTCTGTAAATCGAGTCTGGACCAGACAATCCAGTGATCGACATCGTGAGCATCGATCGACCCAATTTGGATACAATGACATGCATCAACCAAGCCAGTGAGTCTGACTCCCCGATCCTGTGAGTCGCCTCTTATGACAAAGCAGTCGTCTTTTACAGCAAGCATGGGTTTTTCTGAAGACCTATGGTAACTTGGATCTTCACGGGTTTCACTGTTGGGCCTTTATGCAACATGTTACACACTTGGGGCAGCACAATAACAGGTACAAATTAGAAGTCACCAGAAACAGGATTTTAAACATGTTAAATGGTATTATTTTTTAAAGATATGTCTACAGTACTCATTGGTGTAAGAACACCCATTAGACTGGCATCAAGGGACTACAGGTATATTGAACACACAAGGGAAACTGTCAAGGTCCAGGATGAATGATAATCATGATAATCTGTGAGTAAATAATCATAATCAAAGGCTCAAAACATTATCTCCAGCCCTGAACATGTGTACAACAAGAAACATATAACAATCCACTTGCAGGCTCCAGTTCTAGTGAATCACTACCAATACACATCATGATAAAGTACTGATACTTATTGTTACAATGTCTGTTGTTAACATTCAATCATATGTTTTTTTGCTACTAATCTGTATATAATGAATAAGACATTGTCAAGAGCCAGCCTTAATAACTGAGACCTAAGATGACACAGTCCATGCATGCATTATACAAAGTTTCTCACCGTTTGTCGTGGGGCTTGACTTTTAGTTCAAAATGGAATCCCTTTATGAGAGAAAGAATCTTGTGAAGCAATATAAACAAACTGATCATGCTGATGACAAATGCTGACATGAGATGTGTAAATAACTTGAACGTTTAACATGCTTAGTGGTTACCAGCTGGTCTTGTTACAGAATGATCCAGCTGATGAATCATCAGCTGACTGAATCACCACAGCAGGGCCCCATGACTACAGTAACTATGGCAGCTGACAGGTGGAACCAGTGCATCATCACAGCAGGGCCCCATGACTTCAGTAACTATGGCAGCTGACACTAGTGACAGATGGAACCAGTGCATCACCATAGCATGGCCCCATGGCTACAGTAACTCTGGCAGCTGACAGGTGGAACCAGTGCATCACCATAGCATGTATCCATGGCTATAGAAACTATGGCAGCTGACAGGTGGAACCAGTGCATCACCATAGCATGTATCCATGGCTACAGAAACTATGGCAGCTGACAGGTGGAACCAGTGCATCACCATAGCATGTATCCATGGCTACAGAAACTATGGCAGCTGACAGGTGGAACCAGTGCATCACCATAGCATGTATCCATGGCTACAGAAACTATGGCAGCTGACAGGTGGAACCAGTGCATCACCATAGCAGGGCCCCATGACTACAGTAACTATGGCAGCTGACAGGTGGAACCAGTGCATCACCATAGCAGGGCCCCATGACTACAGTAACTATGGCAGCTGACAGGTGGAACCAGTGCATTAACACATAGCATGTATCCATGACTACCATAACTATGGCAGCTGATAGGTGGTACCAGTGCATCACCACAGCAGGGCCCCATGACTACAGTAACTATGGCAGCTGATAGGTGGAACCAGTGCATTACCACATAGCATGTATCCATGAGTACTGTAACTATGGCAGCTGATAGGTGGTACCAGTGCATCACCATAGCGGGGCCCCATGACTAAGGTAACTATGGCAGCTGACAGGTGGAACCAGTGCATCACCATATAACATGGACCCATGACTACAGTAATCATGGTAGCTGATGGAGAGATGGGTGAAACCAGTGCATCGCCACATAGCATGGTGCCATGACTACAGTAACCATGGTAACTGATGAAGGGATGGTAGGAATCAGTACATCACCATATAGCATGCCTTCATCACTACAGTCACTATGGTTACAGGCAATGGTAAATGCATATCTTGCACTTGTTATCTATCAACTAATTATCATCCTAATGTTCGTCACTTGTAATCACTCAATTAGCTGATAGATATCTTAATGATGCAGTGCAGCCGAAACACATCTGATGCTGACAGAGTGCCATGTGGAAATATCTGAGTTCTCTGACTCAGTGAGCTTTTACATCTGTATACAAATCCTCCAATCTGTGAGGTAAAACACCTGCTTAACAGCTTGCAGTTGCACCACAGAGTGTCAGCTTAATATGAGAGGAATTAATAAGTGCACAGTAACTTGTAGCTTTCCCCAGTATCCCTTGGGGATCTCTGCACCCACAAAATGTAAAGCAATCCAAGTTCCCCTCAAACCAGTAGAGCAATCCGAACCCTTTAACAACTGCAGAACAATACATACCATCTCAAACCTGGAGCAATCCATGCCCTCACAAATATATATCATTAATACTGTTCACATAAGCTGATGGCAGTGTTCCGAAGTAGAGAAAAAAAACCTATGCATCTACTATTAAATGAGCATTATGTCTATATTATTATCCAGGTTTAACCTTTCATATCACGAATATGCCTTTTGTGTTATCATAATCATGATAATCAATATCATGTTTCATTTTCAATATCAAAACTTATTAATATAGCTGACAGGGCTTGCCAAAAATCAATACGGCTGGAAATTACTCGTGCGACATGTGCTGACACAAATAGTTCTTTGTCTGTGTGAGTCGTCCCTGGCGAATCAGGATTGAGTTGTCATAAGCATGTTCCCATGTAATCATGGTAATGGTTTGAAATATCATTATGACAAATTTCCCCAGACTCTCTATGGAGATCTTGTAACAAGTAATGACATTTATAAAAAAGATGTCTCTACGAAACCTCTGCTGGCTGTTTTCAACAAACAATTTCACAAGTAACTACCCACCAGATTCTAAATGCCAGGTAGAGTTGGGGGAAATCAACATATTCCTAAACATGCTAAAGGCATCGCTTTTTAGTGAGTGAGTTGGGTTTAACGCCGCTTTTAACATTATTTCAGTTATATCACAGCATGCCAGCTTAATGTGGGAGGAAAGCCCGAAGTGATGCAGGTCCCAGATGTTTACCACTTTGGTGAAACCCATGAGCACGGGTATGGTGCTGACAAACCTTAAAACATAACCAAACTGATTTGAACCAGGATTCGAACCCACAATCATAGGTCCCTTAATGCCGAGCGCCAGTCAGGGTAACAAGTGCCATCTTTAAATGTCTTTTGGTATGACACGGCCGGGGATCGAACCCCGAACCTTCCGCTCTCTGAGCGGATGCTCTGCTGCCTGACCCTGGAGGCTGTCCATAGGTTGCTAGGGACCTATCCTAAATTTGTTATTGTAATCTTTAACTTTCACCAAATAGCTATCAGTTACCAGCCTTACATTCATTATTACTTGAAAAAATGCTGTTATCACTCTAGTACAGAATCTACAAGCATCATTTATGAATTTTTGCTGATATCCCCAGAATCAACAACAGATGCAGTAATATCTCCACAAGCATTGGTAACATAAATCATATTATATATATTACATATTACATATTATGTACATAACATACATAATAGATACGGGGATTTGTCTAGGATTGAACAGGTGGCCCTGACATGCACATTGGGAAACTATTGTTACTTTGTTCAAAATTGGGATTTGGGTAAATTCTAATTTTAATTATTTCGGAGGTATTTTAACATTGTATGTTAGGATTGAATTCAGTGCAATTGTATCGGCCATAAAATTTCCAAGTCCCGTGATGGGATTCGAACCACGGACCTTCTGAGCAGAGGTCAGACGCCTTGTCCACATGACCAAAGAGGTTAACCCAGTCAGCAATCTGACAAGGTAAGGATGTCATCTGTGGGATGACTCCACGCCCTGCTACACAATGATGTTAAACTTAGCATGGAGCATATTCCTCTTTATTGGGTCCTGTTAGTTACATATCAATATAATTCAGAAAAACAAATAATTCCAATCTGGGAATTTGTTATGACCATGATGACATCTTCTACAGATTTGGGACTGACTATCAGCCTCTGAACAGGTCTAGATAAATTCCTAATATCATGTAAATGTTCAGATATCTATAAAAGTCTGGAGATGACATATCCCTCTGATCTGGTGATTCAGAAATGGAGCTGGGCTTCTTTCACACCAATTTTGGCACATTGCCATTGGATACCTTTGTTCAACATGTCCTTGATAGAGTTTTGGCAAACAAAGCAGCATGACACAGTTGAAAGACTGACACCATACAAATGGTTGTCTAAAGGATTAAAAAATAATAATTTCATTACAATTTTCTATTCTCTGCAATATTTATCATGTTTATAGTACCGTATTTTCTTGAGTATAGTGCGCACTTTTTTTCGAAAAAACACAGCTGTGTAGAAGGGGGTGCGCATTATACACGAATTATGAGTTTGGATGTTTTTTTCCCCCATGGAAAGACATTACCGTGAGCACGAAACACCGGAAATAACCATGTCAACAAATCCATCCACCGGGGGTACCTATTAGCAAATGTTAAATGCATATCAATGCTTACATTAGTATTTACAGTCTCACAGATATCCAGATTATCTTGTTATCAGACCAGTATGCTGCTGTTAGTGCTAAAGTTCCAATCTGCAGCTTTACTTCTGCAGGGTTAGAATAGATATGGTCTATGGTAGTACCGTAGTCTGTTCTTAACACGAGACAATACGATCAATTATAAAGAAACTAAGAGCGGTAATATAGCGCACCATGCTATTTAAAAAAGAAAAATGAAAAAAACTCACATACTTATACACATATACATATATTCTCTAAAAAAACATTATTTTCAACAAATGGACCAGTCAAAGTATATAGTTGCCTAAATTGTTGGCATGCCATTGTCAGTGAAGAAGAAAACAATGCTGTTCAATACTTTCAGAATCCCAAACCGAGGGGATAACAAGTGATTTTTTCAGGTGTATAAGCATTAAATATACAAAGGACAGAGTCCATGTATTTGTGCTTGTCAAAACTCCTTCATGCACCCAAGATCTTTTGCTGCACAACTGCTATTCTTCATACATTCAATATAAAGTAGAAACATGTAAATAGAACAACACACAAGTAGAGCATTTCCTTTGTTCCTGAGTCACATGTTGGCAAATTAATTGTTTAACTAGAAAGGAAATCATCAAAGATTCTTTGCAATCTCATTAAAATACAGTATTATATAGCGATGCATATGATACATTACAAATTATACTGGTGTAAATATATGTGAATAATAACAGATTTAAAATGGTAAACGCAACTGTTCATTGTTATGGTTGTTTGAAATTGACAAAACCAGTGTCATAGGCCATATTGATATTCATGCTATTAAATCTCGGACAACAACAATTTTGAGACCAGAAGATACGTCAGTCTTTGGTGATCACATCAAGATCATGAATGACATTGTGTACGACTATGCTACTCATCCTGGGTACCGGGATAAGTTTGTTTGTTTTGTTTGTTTGTTGTTCAACGCCGCACTCAGCAATATCCCAGCTATATGACGGCGGTCTGTAAATAATCCAGTGATTGACATCATCAGCATCGATCCATGCAATTGGGATACAATGACACGCATCAACCAAGTCAGCGAGCCTGACCACCTGATGACATTAGTCGCCTCTTACGACAAACATAGTCGCCATTTACGGCAAGCATGGGTTGCTGAAGACCTATTCTACCCCGGATCTTCACGGGTCATGGGAAATACACCCCTCAGCTTGTGTTGACTATTATTTTTAGGCACATTGGTTCCAAGATTCGGGTACAGAAATAAATCAAGGAAAAACACAAGGGTAGGGTAGAGCCATAAGGATTCTAGCGCTTCTGAAGAGAAAGAGAAAGATGACGGTGAA